TGGCTATATACTTGGAGGATATATAGATGTTCAATAAATATTCTATGAATTATGTTGAGTGGATAAACCACAAGGAATGATAGGAGCTTTTCAGTTCGGTGGCTTAGTCGTGTTCAACTCTGCGACCTCACGGAATGCAGCATGCCAGGCCTCCCCATTTACCACCAACTCCCGGAAATTACTCAAATTCATGTCCATCGAGTCATCTGACCCTCTGTAATTTCCTTCTCCTCCCACCTTTAATCTTTCCCAGCATCAAGGTCTTTTCCAATGAGCTAGTTCTTCGCATCAAGTGGCCAAAGTATTGGAGCTTCAGCTTCAACATCAGTCCTTCCAATGAATATTTAGGACTGATTTCCTTTAGGATTGACTGGTTAAATATCCTTTTAGCCCAAGGGACTCCCAAGAGTCTTCTCCAGCACCACAGTTCAAAAGCATCAATTCTTAGGCATTCAGCTTTCTGTAAAGTCCAACTCACACATTCATATATGACTACTGGAGAAACCATAGCTTTGACTGACAGACCACTGTTGGCAAAGTAATATCTATGTTTTTAAATATGCTGTCTATGTTGGTCATAGCTTTTCTTCCAAGGAGCAAGCATCATTTAATTTCTTGGCTGAAGTCACCATCTGCAGTGATTTTGGAGCCCCCCCCCCCAAAAAAAAAAAAAAAGTCTCTCATGTTTCCATTGTTTCTCCATCTATTTGCCATGAAGTGATGGGACCAGATGCCATGATCTTAGTTTTCTAAGTGTTGAGTTTTAAGTCAACTTTTTCACTCTCCTCTTTTACTTTCATCAAGAGGTTCTTTAGTTCTTCTTCACTTTCTGCCATAAAGGTGGTTTCATTTGCATATCTGAAGTTACTGATATTTCTCCCGGTAATCTTGATTCCAACTTGTGCTTCAGCTAGCCCAACATTTTGCATGATGTACTCTGCATATAAGTTAAATAAGCACAGTGACAATATACAGCCTTGACATACTCCTTTCCCGATTTGGAACCAGTCTCTTATTCCATGTCTAGTTCTAACTGTTGCTTCTTGACCTGCATACAGATTTCATAGGAGGCAGGTAAGTTGGTCTGATATTTCCACCTCTTTCAGAATTTTCCAGTTTGTTGTGATCCACACAGTCAAGGGTTTTGGTGTAGTAAATAAAGAAGCAGATGTTATTCTGGAACTGTCTTGCTTTTTCAATGATCCAATGGATGTTGGCAATTTGATCTCTGGTTTCTCTACCTTTTCTATATCCAGTTTGAACATCTGGAGATTCATGGTTCACGTATTGTTGAAGCCTGGCTTGGAGAACTTTAAGCATTACTTTGCAAGCATGTGATATGAGTGCAATTGTGTGGTAGTTTGAGTATTCTTTGGGATTGCCTTTGTTAGGGACTGGAATGAAAATGGACCTTTTCCAGTCCTGTGGCCACTGCTGAGTATTCCAAATTTGATGGAATATTGAGTGCAGCACTTTCACAGCATCATCTTTCAGGATTTGAAATAGCTCAACTGGAATTCCATCACCTCCACTAGCTTTGTTCGTAGTGATGCCTCCTAAGGCCCTCTTGACTTCACATTCCAGGATGTCTGGCTCTAGGTGAGTGATCACACCAACGTGGTTATCTGGGTCATGAAAATCTTTTTTGTATAGTTCTTCTGTGTATTATTGCCACCTCTCTTTAATATCTTCTGCTTCTGTTAGGTTCATACTGTTTCTGTCCTTTCTTATGACCATCTTTGCATGAAATATTCCCTTGGTATTTCTAATTTTCTTGAAGAGATCTCTAGCTTCCCATTCAACTGTTTTCCTCTATTTCTTTGCATTGATCACTGAGGAAGGCTTTCTTATCTCTCTGTGCTATTCTTTGAAACTCTGCATTCAGATGCGTATATCTTTCCTTTTCTTGTTTGCGTTTAGCTTCTCTTCTTTTCTCAGCTATTTGTAAAGCCTGCCCAGACAGCCATTTTGCTTGTTTGCATTTCTTTTTCTTGGGGATGGTCTTGATACCTGACTCCTATGAAATATCATGAACTTCCATCCATAGTTCTTCAGGCATTCTATCTATCAGATTTAATCCTTTGAATTTGTCACTTCCACCATATAATCATAAGGGATTTGATAGGTCATACCTGAATGGTGTTGTGATTTTCCCTACTTTCTTCAATTTAAGTCTGAATTTGGCAATAAGGAGTTCATGATCTGAGCCACAGTCAGCTCCCAGTCTTGTTTTTGCAGAATGTATAGAGCTTCTCCATTTTGGTTGCAAAGAATATAATCAATTTAATTTCAGTATTGACCATCAGATGATGTCCATGTGTAGAGTCATCTCTTGTGTTGTTGGAAGAGGGTGTTTGCTATGAGGGTGTTTTTCTCTTGGCAAAACTCTGTTTATCTTTACCCTACACTTCATTTGCTCCAAGGCCAAATTTGCCTGTTACTCCAGGTATCTTAACTTCCTAGTTTTGCATCCCAGTCCCCTATAATGAAAAGGACATCTTTTGGGGTGTCAGTTCTATAATTTCTTGTAGGTCTTCATAGAACCATTCAACTTCAGCTTTTTCAGCATTACTGGTTGGGGCATAGACTTTTATTACTGTGCTATTGAATGGTTTGCCTTGGAAATGAACAGAGATCATTCTGCTGTGTGTGTGTGTGTGTTTGTTTGTTTGTTCGTTTGTTTTGTTTTGTTTTTGGTTTCCAGAGTTTGGCTTTATATGAAGTACAGAAATCATTTGGAGACATCACTGAAGCAGAGGTTCTGTCAAATCAATACTGTGCTGCAGCTTGGTCCATTGAAGAAGCCACACCTGGGATACAGAAGAAGCGCCTACGTTTACCTGCTTTATGATGGGTTTCTTTCCCCTCTGCACTCATCAGTTTTAATAGGTTAAAACACTGCACACAGGCTTCCTCCAAAAGACTCTCCAAGTCTGGAGTTTGGTTAGAACTGGAGGCCCACATAAAACCAAGCTTGTGGCTGGGCTGGGTGGGCACTCTCCTGACACATGACATGAATGGAAAGGGGTGGGGAGGAGTGAGGGACGCTGTCCCTGGTTACAGACATTCAGTTCTGAACCTCCTTACCGTCAAGAGGACAAGATTGCACGCAAGCTGCACTGACCCAGCTCTTGAGCAGCAGAAGCTCATAACTGCAAAGGCTACACTGATTAAAAGATACAAATACTGTATCAAGTTCTCTGTATCAGTATCACAAGGTTTTTTTTTTTTTTTTCATTTATTTTTATTAGTTGGAGGCTAATTACTTCACAACATTTCAGTGGGTTTTGTCATACATTGACATGAATCAGCCATGGAGTTACATGTATTCCCCATCCCGATCCCCCCTCCCACCTCCCTCTCCACCCGATTCGAGCACTTGTCTCATGCATCCCACCTGGGCTGGTGATCTGTTTCACACTAGATAATATACTTGCTGTTCTTTCAAAACATCCCACCCGTACCTTCTCCCACAGAGTCCAAAAGTCTGTTCTGTACATCTGTGTCTCTTTTTCTGTTTTGAATATAGGGTTATCATTACCATCTTTCTAAATTCCATATATATGTGTTAATATGCTGTAATGGTCTTTATCTTTCTGGCTTACTTCACTCTGTATGATGGGCTCCAGTTTCATCCATCTCATTAGAACTGATTCAAATGAATTCTTTTTAACGGCTGAGTAATATTCCATGGTGTATATGTACCACAGCTTCCTTATCCATTCGTCTGCTGATGGGCATCTAGGTTGCTTCCATGTCCTGGCTATTATAAACAGTGCTGCGATGAACATTGGGGTGCACGTGTCTCTTTCAGATCTGGTTTCCTCAGTGTGTATGCCCAGAAGTGGTATTGTTTTTTAAGAAATCTCCACACTGTTTTCCATAGTGGCTGTACTAGTTTGCATTCCCACCAACAGTTATCACAAGGTTTTAAAACTGATCCTTCACTAGAAAACACAAGCCAGTATTGGTTAAATTGAACAGAACGTGGGAACCTGTCAATTCGGAAGAGCCACTCCATGAAAAGAAGTTAATACATGATATTAGAAAGGGGAGGCATATTTACTGGTACAGTGTTCTGCAATCTCTCAGTTTTGATTACAAAAGCAGGCCTTACAATACTGATTTCATACAATATGCATCATTTGCCAAATTTTAAGTTTGTCCTAATTAGATGATAACATGTACTGCTGTTAGTCTTCCCCATAGATGTCATTTTTTCTTGCACTTCATTTCCTCAAAGTCAAACTCGGATCCTGTCATCCTCTTATAGATGTCCTTAATGTCATCACAGGTCATCTCAAAGTGAGTTGTTGCATCATAGGTACAGGATATAGAGATCTGGCTTTCTGTTCCCAAGTCTTTTGGTACAAGGAGGTCACTGATGCTAATGAATTTCTGCTCAATTGGTTCCAAGAGGTCCAGAGCTGGTCTGATTTCCTTTTCGGGCTCCTTGGTCTCTCCACTGTTGTGCTGGTGATAGCAATGTACTTGCCCTGTGCAGCCACATTGTGTGCAGAGATCATGCAGACATAGATATCTGACTTCCAGTTGACTTGATTCTGTGGAATAATGATCTGGCATGAGCTGGTGTCATTGGTGTTTTTGATGGGGTGGCTGAGGATACAGATGACTCTGATCACCTGGCCCACATTTTCTACTCGATCTTTCACATAGCTGGGATCACAGATGAGCTGCCTACAGCGAGCAATCTCTCCTTCAGATTTTACACCAATCACCTTTCCATTCTGCATAATTATTTCTTCAATTGGTTTATTCAGCATGTAGGTACCTCCATAAATAGCACTTAGCCATGCAAATCCCTGTGGCAGTTCTCCAAGGCCATAGAGTGGATAAAGGTATGGGCTTTTGCCATATCTTGCCAAAGATTCACTGTAAAGTTTAATCCTATTAATGGTTTCACAACATGGCTGATCTAAATAGTCATCAGTTCTGTAAAATGCCAGGGCATGACCAGTAAAATCTATAACATCTTGGCCCTAGTTGAATTTCTTATACACCTCTCTCATTGATGTCTTCTTGGGATCAATGCCCTCAAAAGTTCGAGGATCATTCTCATCAAAGTTGGCAACATATACCAGGAATTTTCTGAATCGACATTTTTCAAACAGCCCCATTAGGCTAGATGCCAGGGCTTCTGCTTCAGTGGAAGGAACCTTGTAGATCTTTCCTCCCTTATAAACAAAGCTCCCTTCAGTCACTTTGAAATCCAGATAGTGAGTGATCTCCGTAAAAAGCAGCATCTTAACCAGCTGACCATTTGCCATAAGGAACTTGGGGATTAAGTCAACATTCCAGTCTCTTCCTCTGCCCATGGATGCTGGTGGAGCTCCGGGTATCTTAAATATTTTGTATAAATCTTCCAGTGGTGTTATAGATGCACTCTCTCGTCCATAATACAGGTTTCTATCCATGTGAATAACTTTCTTCCCATTCACTGACATTATACCTGACAGGATACATTCCGTCAGGCCAGTGCCCAGCACGATCACGTCGTACTCCTCAATCATGGCAGGGCCGGGCGCGGACGGAGACCCAGAGAAGGCTCACAGCTCTAGGGATCTGGGGCTGCGGCTGCCCCAAAGAGGAAGTGGAGGATGGGCGGGGGGCAAGTGCTCAGGCCGGAAGGGGCCCAAGGGAAAAGGGACGCGGGGGCAGAGGCTACACAGAGCTGGCCAGCAGAGAGCCAGCCACCACCTCAGACGGGAAGAGAAGAATGGGATGGGGAGGGTAGGGAAGGCTGCGAGGGTGAGCCATTCTGCTGTTTTTAAGACTGCATGCAATTACTGCATTTCAGACTCTTTTGTTCACTATGATGGCTACTCCATTTCTTCTAAGGGATCCTTGCCCACAGTAGTAGATATAAAAAGTCATTTGAGTTAAATTCACCCATTCCAGTCCATTTTAGTTCAATGATTCCTAAAAGATTGTGGTTCACTCTTGCCATCTCCTGTTTGACCACTTACAATTTACCTTGATTCCAATTTAGCTTTTACTGTGCATATAATCCAATCTCCAAAACAGTCCCTAAAAGTCAGGCACTTTGTTTTTCTTTTGGCTGTACCTCACAGCATTTACTCTGTTTACATTTAAGATGTTATCAATAAGTATGTTCTTATTGCCATTTTTAGTTTAGTTAGTTGTTGTGGATTAGTAGGTCTTTTTTCTTCCCTTGGTGATCCTAGCAAACACCCTCTTCCAACAACACAAGAGAAGATTCTACACATGGACATCACCAGATGGTCAACACCAAAATCAGATTGATTATATTCTTTGCAGTCAAAGATGGAGAAGCTCTATATAGTCAGCAAAAATAAGACTGGGAGCTGACTGTGGCTCAGATCATGAACTCCTTATTGCCACAGACTTAAATTGAAGAAACTGGGAAAACCACTACACCATTCAGGTATGACCTAAATCAAATCCCATACGATTATACAGTGGAAGTGAGAAATAGATTCAAGGGATTAGGTCTGATAGACAGAGTGTCTGATGAACTATGGAAAGAAGTTTGTAACATTGTAAAGGAGACAGAGATCAAGACTATCCCCAAGAAAAAGAAATGCAAAAAAGCAAAATGGCTGTCAGAGGAGGCCTTATAGATAACTGTGAAAATAAGAGAAGCAAAAAGCAAAGGAGAAAAGGAAAGATATACCCATTTGAATACAGAGTTCCAACGAATACCAAGGAAAGATAAGAAATCCTTCTTCAGTGATCAGTGCAAAGAAATAGACGAAAACAATAGAACGGGAAAGACTAGAGATCTCTTCAAGAAAATTAGAGATTCCAAGGGAACATTTCATGCAAAGATGGGTTCAATAAAGGACAGAAATGGTATGTAACTAACAGAAGCAGAAGCTATTAAGAGGTGGCAACAATATACGGAAGAACTGTACAAAAAAGATCTTCATGACCCAGATAATCACAACTGTGTGATCACTCACTTAGAGCCAGACATCCTGGAATGTGAAGTCAAGAGGGCCTTAGGAAGCATCACTACAAACAAAGCTAGTGGATGTGATGGAATTCCAGTTGAGCTATTTCAAATCCTAAAAGATGATGCTGTGAAAGTGCTGCACTCAATTTTCAAATTTGGAAAACTCAGCAGTGGCCACAGGACTGGAAAAGGTCAGTTTTCATTCCAATCACAAAGAAAGGCAATGCCAAAGAATGTTCAAAGTACTGCACTATTGCACTCATCTCACACGCTAGTAAAGGAATGCTCAAAATTCTCCAAGCCAGGCTTCAGCAATACATGAACAGTGAACTTCCAGATGTTCAAGCTGGTTTTAGGAAAGGCAGAGGAACCAGAGATCAAATTGCCAACATCTGCTGGCTCATCAAAAAAGCAAGAGAGTTCCAGGAAAACATCTATTTCTGCTTTATTGACTACATCAAAGCCTTTGACTGTGTGGATCACAATAAACTGCGGAAAATTCTGAAAGAGATGGGACTACCAGACCACCTGACCTACCTCTTGAGAAACCTGCCTACAGGTCAGGAAACAACAGTTAGAACTGGACATAGAACAACAGACTGGTTCCAAATAGGAAAAGGAGTACGTCAAGGCTATATATTGTCACCCTGCTTATTTAACTTATATGCAGAGTACATCATGAGAAACACTGGGCTGGAGGAAGCACAAGCTGGAATCAAGATTGCCTGGAGAAATATCAGTAACCTCAGATGTGCAGATGACATCACCCTTATGGTAGAAAGTGAAGAAGAACTAAAGAGCCTCTTGATGAAAGTGAAAGAGGAGAGTGAAAAAGTTGGCTTAAAACTCAACATTTAGAAAACTAAGATCATGGCATCTTGTCCCATCACTTCATGGCAGATAGATGGGGAAACAGTGGCTGACTTTGTTTTTTTTTTTGGCTCCAAAATTACTGCAGATGGTGATTTCAGCCATGAAATTAAAATACACTTACTCCTTGGATGGAAAGTTATCACCAACCTAGACAGCATATTAAAAAGCAGAGACATTACTTTGCCAACAAACATCCAGCTAGTCAAGGCTATGGTTTTTCCATTAGTCATGTATGGTGTGAGAGTTGGACTGTAAAGAAAGCTGAGCATCGAAGAATTGATGCTTTTGAACTGGTGGTGTTGGAGAAGACTCTTGAGAGTCCCTTGGACTACAAGAAGATCCAACCAGTCCATCCTAAAGGAGATCAGTCCTGGATATTCATTGGGAGGACTGATATTGAAGCTGAAACTCCAATACTTTGGCCACCTGATGCAAAGAGCTCACTCACTTGAAAAAACCCTGATGCTGGGAAAGGCTGAAGGCAGGAGGAGAAGGGGACAACAGACAATGAGATGGTTGGATGGCATCACTGACTCAATGGAGATGAGTTTGAGTAAACTCCAGGTGTTGGTGATGGACAGGGCGGCCTGGTGGGCTGTGGTCCATGGTGCCACAAAGAGTCAGACATGACTGAGTGACTGAACTGAACTGTACCTCATAACATGTGGGGTCTTAATTCCTCAAGCAGGGATCAAACCGGTGCACCCTGCAGTAGAAACACCAAGTCTTAACCACTGAACCTCCAGGGAAGTCCCAAATCATACTTCTTTAAGAAGCAGAACAAAAGAAAACAGAATCAGAGCTCAGGAGGAGTTGGTCAATTCAATGCTCCACAATTACAGCAACTACGTTTTGGGTCTAATAGAAGCACCCCACATGCAACGACTTATTTTTAGTCCTCACAACAGCTTGAGATGTTGATACTGTTAACTGTTGATAACTGTTAACTGTAAGGGAGAGAAAACTGTGGTGCACAGACATGGAATTCTATGTCCTGTGTTTTTTCCCACTATTTTGTACTGTCTGCCTGATTAGAATCATTTACTAATGGCTGAATTCTAAAAGCTCTCCGCAAAGCATCTATACACCCTGTAATTCTCAAAACCCTGAAGTTTCACAGAAGCTTCTCCAGGGAGATAATCACCTTTGAAAAGGTATTTTTGCAAAACTCTTTAACTGTAAGACATTTAAAATCCGTGTTTCCCTTTAGGAACCTCTCTAGTGCTAAACAAGCCATTGATCCTTTTGTTCTCAGAATTGTGGTTATCACCTATATGCAAAACAGAAAAAGAGACACAAATGTATAGAACAGACTTTTGGACTCTGTGGGAGAAGGCGAGGGTGGGATGTTTCAAGAGAACAGCATCAAAACATGTACATTATCTAGGGTGAAACAGATCACCAGCCCAGGTTGGATGCATGAGACAAGTGCTCAGGCCTGGGGCACTGGGAAGACCCAGAGGGATCCGGTGGAGAGGGAGGTGGGAGAGGGGATCAGGATGGGGAATACATGTAAATCCATGGCTAATTCATGTCAATGTATGACAAAAACCACTACAGTATTGTAAAGTAATTAGCCTCCAACTAATAAAAAAAAAAGATTTCAAAAAAAAAAAAGAATTGTGGTTATCAATGGATAAAATTGTGGCACCTGAGGAAGTCTGAGTCCAGAAATTGAGTAAATTACTAAATCGCACACACACACAAAACAAACAAACAAGAACAAATGAAATCTGGTATCTCATGAAAATATCTGTTGAAAATATCTGCTGTTCAAAATATGCTCTATTGGGCCAAAAAAAGACTAACACTTTCATGCAATTCGAAAAACCCAATCAAATTAAAAACAATTAAATTTAGGTGCCTTATAAAAAGAACTAGTGAGAATGCTATGAGTTACATACCTGAGATACAACTGACATTTTCTTTCTTAAATCATGAAGTCCCATGCTAGTTGTCAAGATCTCATCAATCCAAATTCTACCTTCTGGTTCTGACAATCTAAAAAGGGCAGCCATGAGGGAATTTTTTCCAGCTCCTGTTCTTCCCACAATGCCAACCTGTAAAGAGACCCAGGAGGGATTAAGATTTAATACGCAACAAACCTGGGAGAAACCCTGGATATTGAAGATGAATTTTTAAAGTTGTATATAAACAGCAGTCTATACGTTTCTAAATCATGGCCCTGCTAATATTATGGGTCAGAAGATTCATTGTTGCAGGTCGAGGGGCTGTGCTGTGAATTGTAGGATGTTTAGCAGTAGCCATGAGCTCTATGCCCTAGATACCAGAGGCACTCCCACACTGTAGCAACCAAAAATGTCAGACATTTGACAATTGACCCCAGGTTGAGACTCCCTCCCCACCCCCGGTCCTAAGGAAAGTTAAAAATAACAGGATCAATATACTGGCAGTGAAAAGCCAGAAGTCTCCTAAGTGATCCATAAGAAGTCAGCTTAAATTATCTTTATTCCTACTGTCTTTATATTTTGACCTTGAGAATTATGTGGGTAAATTTACAGAGATGTCAACAGCTCAAGTCAGAAGCGTTATATTTATGAAAAAACCAACCAAACAAACAAATAATCACTTTCTCAGGAATCTATTATTTAAGAGGAATTATTCTTTGGTAGAGAAACTAAATCACTTCCTGATATTAAGTATCTTAATTATATTCTATCTTGAAAGGAAGCATCTTAA